TGAGGATGATTAAAATCATAATAATTACGATATGACAATAATTAGATGTTTAATGTTTAATATTTCAAAGAAACAATACATAAAACTTGTAAATCATAACACAAATAAAACAGTTATAAGAATGACTGCAGTATATGCCAACAATGAAAAACGATTATAATGATACTGATAATGATATTAATGGCACTACTAATAGTGGTGATGATAACGGTGATAAAACTAGTATTTACATTGACGATAATAATTACTATTATAATAATAATGACAAAATCAGCAATATAAATTACAGTATTAAAATACAAATACTACTACTACCAATACTAACAATCATCATCATTACCAGTACACCCCTGACCATCTTCTTTTTCACTGCGTCTGAGTAAGAGGAACCAAGAGGAGAGGTAAAAACGCTGGTTTTGCAAGATCAACTTTATTGTTCATCATGCTGGACATGACGTCGAGAAGAGGGAGTTTGGTAGGCCGAGAAAAAGACAACAAATTGCATTCTAGACATCAACATTTCTACTCTTAGGATCACTCACTTTGACCTCGTTTCCAGATCGCCACTTGAACCCTGCACTTGAGATCAACTAAGGAAAAGTGACCAGCCAATTGCGCCACAAGACGATTCACCATTTCAGAGGGGGAGGAAAAATGCAGTGCATATATATAACCTGTTTTAAGTCCACCTCAAGCGGCGTTCTAGAAATAGGCCTATATTTATTTATTTTTTGAGGGCATGGATTTAGGTACGTTGGATGACTGACGTGGTGCAGATACTGCCCACGTTAAACCGACCATCCGTGTGTCCACTAAACCACTGTTAAACTTCATCGTACACAGTGTTCACTATAACCTATACGCATCCACTGTCTTGTATTCCTCACGAATCACCGCTCCGCACAGTGATCACCATATAAAGCATCCACGACACACTAACACACTAGAGTACTTCCTGGGGGGAATGTCCTAGGTCCTGGGCAAAGAGAAAGTGTGAATCCTGAGCTGCCATGAGGTTGAGCGAGCGTTACCCAAAAGAGTCGCTCAACCTAACCGCAGGAGGGATAGTCACCATCTTCCACAGAACACAGTATTATGCTAAACACTCCAGTGATGCTGCTGGCAAGGTAGGCGGTGACAGGGTCTAGGCAGGCATGGTCAGGGCAGAAAGGAAGGGTTTGAGGATGATCTCGACGGGCGTGGCCACAACCTCCGAGCCGAATTATCTGCGCGTGACTTTTCTTAAATCTTCCAACGAGAGACGGCAAGCCAAACCTCGACCTTGAAAAACCATTGGCTTCCGATGTGTAATGGCTTTTTTTTCGACACTTTCTGCATCAATTTCTGTGTTCCTTCACTTTAATTTGTATTTCAGGAGTTCCAATAAGATTACTTGTATCATTCTATTATTTCATGCAGCTACAAATCACTGAAATACATGCTTATATGTAAAAAAAAAGATTTTAAAGGTTTCACTATATGTACAATCTTTGTTTCCACGGCAGAGGGAAAAGAACCAGCAGAATGAAGTAAACTTGCCAAGGATAAATGTAAAGACCTCCTTGGGAAGGAGGGATAAGAAGTAGGAGCAAGTGCCCTGGCCAGGACCCAGTCGTAGCCTCGCCACAGTGGAGTGTAAACGGTGCCAAGTTATCCGTCTCTTGTGTGGTGGCACAAAAAACACATCAGGGATATGCTAACATAAGAAATCACAGGCACGCAAACAAATCATACTTCAGAAATCGTTGACCTTACATGTTCGCTTTACATTAAATGTTACATTTGTGCCCAAAATACATGAGTACATGTATATATATGTATGTATATACAGTGTACATACACACTATATACACAACTGAGAATCTACACCTTCAACCAGACACTGAGAAAGAATGGCACGAGAGTTTTAAGGAAGAGGGGCTACAAGTACCGCTTAGAAGCAGCAGTTCGAAAGTACCAGACGTGCTAGTCAGAAGCACCAGTTAGAGGTACTAGTTAGAAGGAGTAGTATGTCAAATATTGATCAGATGTACCAGAGACTGGAAGAAATATTGGAGAGATTAAGCACGGTCTTGCCCCACCTCAGTCGAGCATTGCAGCGTGCAGTAATGGAGCACTGTATACTTTATAGAAGTGTATGCACATGGAGAAAAGTGTGTACATGGGGATGAAGTCTGCATGTATATCAGAGGATCATGCATACAAGCATCCTCATGCAAGTCGAGAGAAGTGTATGCACATGGAGGTAACTATGTGATAATCTGAAGGACTAACATGTGTAAGTGATAGGACAATTATGTACAACGTCAGGGAAGTGTGTCAGCTTGTGTGTAAACAATTATGTATGTATGATTCCCATTTTCACAGAAGCCCTTATACCCTCAGAGACAAAGATGAAGGTGAACACAGCTGGACTTTCGAGGCCCAACTAACAAACTGAACTAGACTGTGTTAGTGTGCTATATCAAGTGTAGCTCTTCCTGATTATTACTCAGCAGTGCCAACAACAGCACGTAAAAATTTCAAATCTGCTGATTTTTACATGAGGGCTTTTGCACCTTAGTCTTACAAACGGATAATATGAAATGAAAAGCACTTCCTTCAGGGATATTTTAAAAACATCAATATGCAAACAAGTTGCCATCCCGAAGATTTGGTCTAAGGCGTCCGAGTTCAAAACTCGACTTCGTGTTAGCAAACACTCAAAACTGAACGGCCTTAAATTCTAGCACTCTGTACTTCAGTGACGAAGACAATGGCGAGTACAAACTCTGAACACTCTAGATGATACAGAAAAGAACTCCCTTTATACCACAGACTGAGTTTACAGAAGTTAACAGAGGCTTTTGATGCCACTGGCAGAGCCACAAAGAGGAAAGGCCAAAAGTCTAAGACGCGGGTGTGAGGGCGTGAGAATGAGGGGAGAAAGTGATCTCATTTCTAATGTGAACAATTATGTTAGTGAATCGGACATACAAATACAGGTGATTGAACTATTTTTCAATTCAATTTCCTAATCACTGCAACTAACCTGAAATATACGTCAATCATTAAAAGATATCTTTAGCTGTCAGTCACAGACGGCCAAAAACCAGTGCACAGTAAAGATGACTGTTCAGTCAAAGAACATCTTTACCGCTATTCCAGTCTCTATAGAGTCATACAATATTTACACAGATCATTGTACATCTCCTCATGTAAATTTATTAGTGCACAGGTAACCCATTCACTTCTTATTTGGTATGGCAGTACAGAGAAAGGGTTCCTGTCAAAGAGGGATCAGAAGTTTACAAAAGTTATTTGGGTGGACTAGAAGTTTTGTTATTGACTGGCCATTTCATCTAAATATGATCATCGAAACTATCTTAAAAATGTGGCATGGTAGCTAAACCTTCCCGTCTTTATCATAAAGCCCAAGTTATTGTTATAGTTCTGCACTAATAAAGGTATTAAAGAAAGATCACACTCCTAGAAAGTTAAGTGTGCTCACCCTCACTCACGCTCGCACACTCACCGGAGTTGCTCATTGTCAGGATGAAGTTCTAAGTTTAAAGAGTGTTTTATTGTAACCTCAGATAATCAACATGAATCTCGTCTTCCCCCCAAAAAAGGCTAGAGTTATCAACGTTTATCGTGGAACACTTTTGTTCCGTTTTGAAATCCGCGACGAAAACCAGATAAAAGTTGATAAGTCACAAAAATTCAAGGAAAGAAGACCAAATTTTTTTGTTTTTTTGTTTTTTGCTTTTTTGTAACTTGATATTGACTAGACAACCTGATTATGATAACCACTAGATGGCCTTGTTGGTGTTCATCTTCCATCAGGGCATATCCATCCTCCCAGGAGATGTGCACCAGTGGCTTAATGATAAATTCTCATGCATTAAAAAACGTCTAAATTTGAGTAGGGAAACTCCATCGGCAGTTTTGTGTTGTGGGAGGAGGAATAGGCCCGCGTGACCTACAACTTGGCCCCTGGAGTGTGATAATACCTATTTGTACAAAAACTTAGCAAAAATTCTAGCAAATTGATTTAAGCCTGATGTAGTGAATTTTTTTGATTACATCCTCCTTAGGAATTATTAGTGTCACGTCACTGGAAAAAATCACACAATCAAGAGGATCACAAAGACCTGCTCCAGGGGCGTCTTCATCAAGGGCTTTGATTCACAATTTCCCTTCTGTAGGTGGAGTATCTGATTGGCTTCTGGCATACTTGCAAGGTGTTTGGTGTATTTCATCTTTACCTAGTGTACGGTGCATCTCACAGCATCCGTCAGTTACAGCCCATGTCAGCCCCTTCATCAGAATGGCACTGATGGCAATAGTGATGCTAAAATTTACAGACTAACAGACACGCTAACTACCTATTCTGATTGATTTATCTTATATACATTTACATACAGAAAATACAGACTGTACACAGTTTTCCTTCCTATGTCCACCTTGTCAGATGGTTGTGTTGTGTGCACACAGACTGACAGCCTTCACTATGAGCAACCTTGTGAAGGTGAGTCTCCTAAAATCCCCGCTGAGGGAACACCCACTGAAGACATGAACTACATGGGGAAAACATAGGGCGAGGGATCGTCTACCAGATCTTGGAATATCATTGAGTATACCAAGATCAGTGTCTATCAATGATATGTGCTACCATGGAAAACTACTTGCCAGCACGTGGAGACAACTGCCTCTGTCATCAAAAGGGGAATTGAATCCACCCAATGGACTATTTTCATTGGAGAAGAAAGAGAAAAATAAAGTTTCAATTGCCTGGCTACAGTGACTGCCCCAAACCTAAACTGCGTCTTTTCCACTACAGTTAACTTCAGAGTCAGGCAATTTTCTTACAATATAAAATGCAAATATTTATGAGGTCAGAAGTGCTAATTCTTCCCATCTTTTTTTGAAACAGCAGAGGAAATATTTTTGTTAAAATTTACATTAAAACAGTAAACATAACCTCGTGCTGTTAAGTACTGAGTTATTCCATTCATAACAACAACATTCCTCCTTTGTCATCTTTGTTCACAGTATGCAGTTCATCACAACAATGCCATCTGCATGTCACATGTCTGGAGATTCCACAGTTATTGGAGAAGTGGAAATAAACGTCCCTCATTTCAGCACAAAATGTGACGTCTTAAAACTCATGTACAGAGACATACGTAAACTCATAAAAACCAGAACCTCGTCATATCAATATACATCATAACACAGCCAGGTAGCAAAATAGTCTGTTTTCTATAATATATATGCTACACTATGGTATTACTGGAAGTCCTGCCACTCACAATGGACACAATAAGTAAAAACTATTATCAGTTAACAGACCTGCTTGGTGACTGGCCTAATACTGAACATGAGGAGCAGGATTACCTACTGATCTAAGTATATTTTGATGAGACTTCTGTATAGACTTTCTTTTTTTTCCTATGACATGTAAATTATATTTTTTCTACAGATACTCATCTTTAAAGTTTCATAAATGGATCTATATATACATTCTGAATAATGACAGAGAACGTGGTTTTATGCTTAGTTAACAACCATTTCTTTTTTTCTATGTCTCTACAACCTTGTTCATACAACCTGATTCTGCCTAAACCAAATAACCATGTGCATTAATTATGAGAAGAATATTGCTTAAAATCTAATACAGAGATAGCAAAGAATCCCCAAGATTCACGAGGACTTTCTAGTTATTTCATCCAGCAGATGTTGCACAACCTGTTGCAGACGTCATGGTAGCAGCTGATTTGATTGAAGATTTCAGTGTCCTTTCTGGAAGAGAAGAGAAAAGGAAAATTGAATATTGGTCTTCGGAAAGTGACAAATTCGGATAGTTCGGAAGTAAAAGCTATCCAAAGGAAATTTTAATTGTAGTAATTATATAACTTTAATCGTGCATACTTTTTATGAACAAGAAACACCAATGCCAAATATATCCAATGCTTCTCACTGATGCGTATGATGTTTTTTCCCTAAGAATGATAAACCTTAAGATAGCCATATCAGGTGGTGAACCTCGTAAGTTTCATGGGCTAACATGTATGTCATAAAAACTTTTTTCTAAGAATAGCCCTCAAAGGCATTTTATATAAAATAGTTTAAGGAAGAAGTAAGCAACAGGATTAGATTTTTTTTTTATTCTTTTAGTTTTTTTCTTTCCAGAAAATATAAAAAATGTTTACCCCATGTATTTTTTTCTGTGATGACCAAAATATCCACCAGATTTTAAAATTCTGAACACAAATCACTTTCTCAAAACAGTAGTCTGGTGTCCCCGCAAACACACATACAAGCACAAACAAACACACGCACAGACCAAAAAAAGGACGCAAGGCACACAAAAACAGAGAACCCATCCTTCCTACCCATCAAAGGCCTCTCCTAATTCCCAAGGCCCCATTTTTATCACCTTCCTCTCACCTCCTCCCCATACACGGCCACACGCACTCGCTCTCACCATTTCAGAGGTGCGTTCGCGCCGCTGAGCCGTCCGGGGGCGCCTCCTCCGTGCTCTCCTGAGGGCGTGCGGGGAGAGAGAAAGGAAAAAAAACATTGCTCTTAATTCCTGTCTACAATTAGCCTCCTTGTCAGACAATGTGAATGCAAATAACCCTAGCGTTGTGGTAATGAGGGATAATTACACCTCTATGTACACTTGGTTAGAGGATCCCTTGGGGGCGACCACACAGGCCCTCGCTCGCTCCCGAGTGTGAAGGCGAGGCCGAGGGAAAGCGGAGGCGGGGAGGATTGGAGGAGGAGGACTGGGGAGGAAGGAAGGACGAGGGAAGATAATGATAAAGAGGGAGGGGGTGACACGCCAAGGGAAAGCAAAGGGGAGGAGGATGGGGCGAAGGACTGAAGAGAAAGGGAGGACGAGGGAAGACGAAAATGATAAGGAGGGAATAAGAAAAGATGATGAGGGAAGAAGGAAATGGCAAAGTAGGATGAAATATGAGGTGGAGGGAAAGCGAAGAGGAAGCGGATGGGGTGAAGGACTAACGAGAAAGAAATGAAGAAGGAAGAAGAAAATGATAAAGAGGAAATGCAATGTGAAGCCAAAGGAAAGCAAAGAGGTGTAAATGGAATGCAGAAGTATTGATCAGAAAAAAAAGAAGGAAAGGGTAAAAGAAGATGGAATGTGAGGCGAAAGGAAAACGAAAAAGGGAAGAATGGGATGAAGAAAGATTGAAGAGAAAAAAAGATAAAGGCAAGGGGAAACGATAGACATGGAGTAGAGTGGGGCAGAAGGGCTAAGGATGAGGGAAATATGAAAGGCAAGTTTAAAATGAAAAGAATGAATAAACACTGATGGTGATTATTTAACTTACTTCACTGGAAAATTAAATTAATTGAAACAAGAAAAACAATAAGAAAAGAAGCAGAAAAAAGTAAATCAAGTGAGAGAGAGAGAGAGAGAGAGAGAGAGAGAGAGAGAGAGAGAGAGAGAGAGAGAGAGAGAGAGAAGAGAGAGAGAGAGAGAGAGAGAGAGAGAGAGAATGAGGGGAGGGGAGGGGAAGGGAAGGGAGGGGAGGGAAGGAGGAGAGAGAGTCAGAAAGCGAATGGTTCCGAGAGCGAGAGGCGCAGGCTCCTCCCCTGAGGGAACAATCAGTTTAGGGAGGTTTTTTTTTTACAGCCGATCGGCCGGGTGTCATTCAAGTTTATTTGGATAACCCAGCCTATTACGGGCCCGATACCACCGCCGATAAGCAGACGCGATACCTCGGCTACAACGGACACCACTTAACGATGATTATCATAATTGTTTGGTCACTGTAAAACCCGGGTTGAAGGCTCCCTCCCCGAGGCGTTCCTGCCATATTTAAGTGTCTGATTATTGGCCGAGTCCTTTAGTGGGTCTCAACTTCCACGCTGAGAAGGAATGATAAATCGG